TACTGGTAAACGCGTAGTGTTGCGTTTCTTTCAGGGTAAATTTCACTTAACCCCCAATACTTTGGGGGTTTGCAAATTAACCCAGTTGCTCTATTAAAGTATACTAAAATTGTACCGGTTAACATGTTGCATTAGGGTAAAATTTACTTAACCCCCTATACTTTGCAAATAAACACACATTCGACTTTGTTTATTCCATTTAACCAACCTAAACTTGTCTCGTGTAATTTCTCTAAAGAAATATCAATCGTGTAACAACAAAGGACGAAAATCCAAACTCAGTTTATTAAAAATTACCTCTTTTATCTCCCCGCCCCCTTTTTTTAGAGTATATTTTGGAAAGGGCATTTTGATTATTTTATCATTAACAAAGTAACAACGTAAACTATATCATGCTGAACATTGATATTATGAAGGCTTTTGATACCATAAGTTGAAAATTTTTGCATGAAATGCTTAAAGGACTTGGGTTTCCAAATAAATTAATTGACTGGATCATGATATGCATAACAACTCCGAAGTACTCTATTTCCCTAAATGGATCTCTACATGGTTATTTTAAAGGGGAAAGAGGATTGAGATAGGGTAACCCGCTCTCCCCTTATCCTTTCATATTGGGTATGAAAATATTTGTCAAGAAGATTAAACCTCCTGAAGCTGGATAAACAGTTTAAATATCATCCTAAATGTGTTAAAATGAAAATATCTCACCTTATCTTTGCTGATGATTTATTGCTCTTTAGTAAAAGGAGACCTATATTCAGAAATGAGACTTTATCAGTGTGTCACTGACTTTGGGGATAACTGGTCTTGAAGCAAACAAAAATAAATCAACAATTTTCTTTGGAGGGGTTGAAGAATTTGTTAAAAGAGCTATCAAAAATCATCTTTGTCTCCCTGAAGGTAGTTTCCCTATCGGATACCTGAGGGTTCCTTTTGTCTGCAAAAGGTTATCTTATGAAGACTGTAATGCTCTCATATGTAAAATATCAAACCAAATTCAGGTATGGAAAAAACACAGAGAGATCACTTATGCTGGAAGATTACAGGTTATTAAGAGTGTGATTATGGGAGTTCAGGTGTATTGGACTTCTAATTATGTCTTGCGAGCTAAAGTAACTCAGAAAATGGATGAAATCTGCAGGAATTTTTTGTGGGGTAGAAATAATCAATCATCAAAAATTCCAATAGTCTCCTGGGATAGTGTTTGCCTGAGCAAAAAACAGGGAGGACTAAGGATATTCTCGGCTTCAATCTGGAATTTAG